GGAGGAGGGGAGAAGCTGGTGGAGAAGAAGGAAGGGGAGAAGGGAGAAGGTGGTGGAGAAGGAGGAGGGGAGAAGCTGGTGGAGAAGGAGGAAGGGGAGAAGGGAGAAGGTGGTGGAGAAGGAGGAGGGGAGAAGCTGGTGGAGAAGGAGGAAGGGGAGAAGGGAGAAGGTGGTGGAGAAGGAGCAGGGGAGAAGCTGGTGGAGAAGGAGGAAGGGGAGAAGGGAGAAGGTGGTGGAGAAGGAGCAGGGGAGAAGCTGGTGGAGAAGGAGGAAGGGGAGAAGGGAGAAGGTGGTGGAGAAGGAGGAGGGGAGAAGCTGGCGGAGAAGGAGAAAGAGGAGGGGGAGAAGCTGGTGGAGAAGGAGGAAGGGGAGAAAGGAGAAGCTGCACGGTGGAGAAGGAGGAAGGGGAAAAAGGAGAAGCGTGCTGCGGCGGCATTTCATTGATGTACAAGGGGGGCTGGGTTGGCAGATTCTCCCTTCTCCCCTTCCTTCTCCACCAGCTTCTCCCTTCTCCCCTTCCTCATTCTCCCCCTCCTTCTCCCCTTCCTCCTTCTCCACCAGCTTCTCCCCTGCTCCTCCTCCACTACCTTCTCCCTTCTCCCCTTCCTCCTTCTCCACCAGCTTCTCCCCTCCTCCTTCTACACCAGCTTCTCCCATCTCCCCCTCCTCCTCCACCAGCTCCCTTCTCTCCCTTCTGCTCCCCTTCCTCCTTCTCCACCAGCTTCTCCCCTCCTCCTTCTCCACCAGCTTCTCCCCTCCTCCTTCTCCACCACCTTCTCCCTTCTCCCCTTCCTCCTCCACCACCTTCTCCCTTCTCCCCTTCCTCCTCCACCACCTTCTCCCTTCTCCCCTTCCTCCTTCTCCACCAGCTTCTCCCCCTTCTCCTTTCTCCCCTTCCTCCTTCTCCACCAGTTTCTCCCCCTCCTCCTCCCTTCTCCCCTTCCTCCTTCTCCACCAGCTTCTCCCTCTCCGCCTTCTCCACCAGCTTCTCCCCCTTCTCCTTCTCCGCCAGCTTCTCCCTTCCTCCTTCTCCACCAGCTTCTCCCCTTTCTCCTCTCTCCACCAGCTTCTCCCTTCTCCCCCTCCTCCTTCTTCATCAGCTTCTCCCCTTCTCTTTCTCCACCACCTTCTCCCTTCTCCCCGTCCTCCTTCTCCACCAGCTTCTCCCTTCTCCCCTTCCTCATTCTCCACCAGCTTCTCCCCCTCCTCATTCTCCACCAGCTGGTGTCTTAGCTGAAGTGGAAATCGCCCTATTTGAGCATATATGCGAAGTGCGCATGCGCATACGCATCCTATATCATATATTTTGCAGGTTAGAAATTTCGCACACATAGACGAGCTGTGATTAGTCGGGTCGGGACGCATGCTCATACGCGTACGCATGCGCATAGGCATCCTATCTCAGAAATTTCGCAAGTCAGAAATTTCGCGCTACACCTGTCGAGCTGGCGGGCTGAAATCGCCTAGTGTGTCCAGTGAGTCGCGGTCGATTTTCGAGTCGGCCGGCTGAGTCGCCCGAATCAAACATGTTTGATAATTATTTGAGTCGCGCGACTATATACAATGCGCGCCCGAACAAAGCAATACTTATACAATAATTATGCTCTACTACGCGCGCCCGAATGTACAATTCATCAGCCAATCAAACGGTGCCATTTTCAATCATGTGACTATCATCATCATTCAGCCGGGCGGCTCAATCGCATGAAAAATCGGCTAGTATGTCCACAGCTAAAACACTGCAAACGGGCCCAATATATAGACAACGACCTAAAAGGCAGCTATATATATAGATATAGGCAGCTTACCGTGAGCAAGACAGAGAAGACGGCACCTGCTGCTGGCATGCTGGCATGAGACTCGCTGATGTTCAGAAGCAGGAGCTGATTCCATGGCTGCACAATCAGGTGATGTGCTGTCAAAAACAATTCTAAAGTTCTCTCCATTTTCGCTAGCTTGTCCTGCCGGCAGAAACCTTGCACATATACAGTGTTTCCCCTGGCCAAAGAGCTAGGTCTGTGAGATGGTAAAATATCATTTGCTGTGTTTGCGCGTTTCGATCGAGGTCCTATAGCGAGGACATGCCACCTTGGTAAATGTTTGAAAAAATGGTGCAATTTGGTGCATTCCAAGCTATTTTGGTGCATTATATTTATAAGCACTGTTCTATGGAAGAACAGTGATTTTCGTCAGCGAGGCAGTGTTTTGGACAAATTTCTGTGTGGCGGCTGAGAATTTGAGCGAGGAGGCCCGCCTCGCTCGTGTCAATGCAGGGGCACTGCATACATACTGTCATCGTGCAACACAGATTCAAATGAATCATTATGCAAGCTTAATTATTATTACTTAATTACTGTACTCTATACCTGCTGTATTTGTGAGTTTATTACTATTTATATTATGTCAAATAGTGAATGATTGGTTTAGAATATGGGTTAGGAATAAAAAAATTTAATAAAAAGGGAAGTGTGAGAAAGGGTTTCAGTATTAGCATTACCGACAGTTGGACTTCTTTCTTCTGTGTAAATGAGCAATACGCGAATGCAGTCAGTTGCACACTGCTGCACCAGTCCCACGTCCTATAACGGAACAAACAAGTTTAGATATCTGAAGCACGGTTTTCACTTGCAACAATCAACGAATAGACACAATATTCTAAAAGATTATAAACACATCCAATGTCTACAATACATATTGACATTTCACAAACAATGAAAGCACACAAGCTGCAGCAATGCCAATTTCTAATCATGTTTATGTAGAAAGATACATTCAACCACCTTTGCAATGATGTTCAGTAACAGGAAAGTGAGAAGTCTCAAGTCTCTGCTATTGATATCGAGCTGTCCATCCTCATCCTTCAAAAACGATAACCTACAAAAATAAGGGTGTGATTACTTATTTAAATGATACAATTTGTCACTTTTAAGTTTGGTTTCATATCATAAACATGACATCACATATCATTAATCACAATACGATATTCAATGCTGGAATGTTCATGTTTAACGGTTTAGTTAACAGAAAACCGTCTGCTACGAATCAGCAAAATACGAGCAGACAAATATAAGATCATATATAATATTAAGAACAGTCACATGTAGACACATTTTATCAGAACAGTAGCAGTACTATAAAGTGCTGTACACAGAGCACAATATACTGCCTGAAAATGCATAATTCCACACGTTATCATACTTTTTCTTCCGACGGACGTCAAGAACAGGGCTAAGGCTGTTGGCTGCACCGTGGAACCATGCAGTCCACAAATGTAAGCAAGACACTTGATGCAGTGGTCTATCGCTGCACATACCATCCATCAGCCATTCAATTGTTGCTAATACAACTACCGAGGACTGTGAACACACGAATGCTATGCTAGAAAATTGGAAACTGGTTAAAACAATTATATTTTATAAATCATGCAAACACAAATCCCTGTTCAGAATTCAAGAATATGAAAGCTTTTTGGCAGACAATTTACAGTTTACATATATAATTAACCATGTAAATGCTGCCACAGACATGGTCAGCAAATAGCAAAAGAACACAACAATAGTTGATTAAACAATAAACGAATAATTCCTAAATGGGGAAATACGAACTTAAAATGAGATGCAAAGAATATAAAGGGTATAAAGGAAATGACTCTATGTAATACGGCTTTGTTGTATCGATCAGCTGATATACAAAGCAGGGAATTTTAAGAGCTTCATCGAGTGTGCGACAAACGATGGGTGGAAAAGACACGAAGATGTCATTACCGACAGGCGCTTGGGCCCGAATGCCTATATAAAGGCCTGCCAGTGGCAGCAATACCTTTATACCAGACTGGTGCTGGAACTTGGCGAGCGCTGCCACCAGGAGCCCAGCAATAGCAGGCACGTCTCCGTGGCTTGAGAGCTGGTCGGGAAGCGTCTCATGCTCATCTATCACCGTGAGGGATGCTGCCAGTCGCTGCAGCAATGCTTCATTGCTCAACATGATAGATATAACTGCAAGCAGCATTATTACTGTTAGAGGGCAGCACTGAAGAATGGTTTGATGCTATTATCATTTCGGTTTAGAATGGCTCATAGGGTCTATGACCCCCAGGGTACGGCCGGAACGTACCCTGGGTACGGTCGGGTATACCGGAACGTAACCTGGTACTATCTAATATGCGAGGTACGGTCCGGCATATTAGATAGTACCAGGGTACGTTCCGGCAGTACCCTGGGGGTCATAGACCCTCTCAGCTTTAGAATGTGTGGGTACGATAACAGATACTCCTGTACTACAGCTGAGAGGGTCTATGTCCCCCAGGGTACTGCCGGAACGTACCCTGGGTATGGTCCGGTATACCGGAACGTACCCTGGGTATGGTCCGGTATACCGGAACGTACCCTGGTACTATCTAATATGCCGGACCGTACCTCGCCTACTCCACTAACGAGTCTAGGGAGTCGCCTACGCCTACTCCCTAACCCTAACCGTATCAGCTAGATAGTTACCAGGGTACGTTCCGATATATCGAACCGTACCCAGGGTACGTTCCGGCCGTACCCTGGGGGACATAGACCCTATGAGCTGTACTACAAACTGGTCAACCTGGGCGATGGTGATCAGTTTTATTAGTATTTACTACTATTAGCACAGTCTCACCAGGCAGCATCATTTATTAGTTCTACTGCACCTAAACTGATGTTGCTATTAGTGTGCCTTACTCGAGTAAGATAAGAGAGCCAGATCACGTAGTCACGTACGTAGTCACACAGTGAGATCACGCGAGTCAGGGAGCATGGCACACCATGCAGTCACAGAAAACCACCCAGGCGCGCCGGAAGCAGTTTTGGATTGGGGGGGGGGCAAAGACCTAAGGGGGCTCACGATTTTTTTTATCGTGTGTGCGTGTGTGCGACGTGGGTGCGTGAGCGCATGTGTGTGACGTATGTGCGTGAGCGCGCGTGTGTGACGTGAACGCGTGTGTGTGTGTGTGCGACGTGTGTGCGTGTGTGCGTGAGCGAGTGTGTGCGACGTGTGTGCGTGAACGCGTATGTGCGACGTGTGTGCGTGAGCGCGTGTGTGCGACGTGTGTGCGTGAGCGCGTATGTGCGACGTGGGTGCGTGAGCGCGTATGTGCGGCGTGTGTGCATGAGCGCGTATGTGCGACGTGTGTGCGTGAGCGCGTATGTGCGACGTGGGTGCGTGAGCGCGTATGTGCGGCGTGTGTGCGTGAGCGCGTATGTGCGACGTGGGTGCGTGAGCGCGTATGTGCGGCGTGTGTGCATGAGCGCGTATGTGCGACGTGTGTGCGTGAGCGCGTATGTGCGACGTGAGCGTCAATCACGCAAAGCGCGCAGCGAAAACTCAAAATGGATGTATAAATTAGTTTTTCAACGATAGAATTAACAAGTACTCTTAGCTCATACATTTTATTTTTTCTTTCCCACTCTTCTTTTTTGGGGGGGGGGCTTTTTGGTTTTGCCCCCCCCCACTTCCGGCGCCTCTGAAACCACCCAATAAGTAATACAAGTTAAAACCCTAGCCGCGCTTAATCAAAGTGAGTGAACAGATGCTATGTCAAGAATACTAAACCACTTCAATTTAATGTGTGTGTTTTTTTAGGTCGAATGCATATACATAATGTGTGTGCGTATATGCGTGCATGCATATGTGTGTATCATGATAGTGTTCTATCTTAGTGAGTGCATGGTATATATATGGTCCAACCATGCCGGTGTGGTCTAAGTTATTGGTAGGCCTATATCAACAGGCAAACCTCTGTTGTCTCCCATGCTTGCCGTGTTGAGAAGACTGACATAGAGATAGCTCAGTGCAGCTTGCACAACATCTGCACTCACATCACTGCCCTTCAGCAGTAGCTGCAACACTGTAAGAATTATCACTTCATAATTCCAGGAAAAAACAGTATAATGGTGAACATTAGTGATCGTACAGTAAAGGTGAACTTCTGCCTGACAGGAATGAAACAACATTCTAGCTCATCAATTAATGATCAGGCACCACATTGATGAATAAATCTAGAAGAAAGAATTAAACGTAGGTGATGCTATTTGTATGGGTAATCAATGCAAGTGGCCTGTCAATAGATCTTGGATCTATAGAACAGTGATCTATAGAACATGTACTGGAATTCTGTCACCTTTGACTTGAAGAGCCAATGAGATTTTTATAGCCTCACACGCCTCACCCACTTGGGAATAACTGGACTAAAACCAAGATTGTTTTACATGAGTAAGGGTAATTGGCAATATATGCCAAAATGGGAGATGTGAAAAAGGTATTATTAATGAAACTAGCCTCTCTGTATAAGTTTTAGGTCATATGTATCAAATGTAGCTTCCTTCTTCCCCACTGCCTTCAGCTGGCACCCAAAACTGAGGATGGCATGAACTATAAGAAACAACAATCAGATGCAGAACAAAATAAATTAACACCCTTTCAATGTATCTTTACAACTGATCTACTCTGAAGTTAATAGATTATATATATAATATAGATTTAATGTAGTAATTACACAATAATGCTGCATTGACTACTATAGCTTGAATTAGGTAATAATAACATAACAGCACTCGATCCTTAATGTTCAGTTATTGCCTTGCAGCATATCTCGCCTTCATCTACAAAGCTATAGCTGATATTACTGGCTCCAGATATAGAGGCGCTGCTATCTGTAATCTGCAGCAGGTCTGGCAATCTCGCTCGAACAGCATCAAATAGTTCGTCACGATCTGGAGCCGCTAGCATATCTTCCTGCAAGCATTAATGAATCATCTGCTGATCACACATGATAGCTACCTTTGCAAGATTTCTCATCTGCGTGCGCATGCATGCATATACGGAACATTATATACGGTAGCAGAAAAGATATATTGTACAGTAGAAGTCCGCAAAGCCGGACTGCTCGGGGATTGAGTCGGTCCGGATTTTCGGCTTCTCTGCGGATTCTCAGGCAGTATTTTTAAAATTCAAATAAAGAAGAGAAGAACAGGTAAATTTTGAGTTTATTCATTAGCAGATATGTACATGCAGCATCCTTCATTTATCAAAACGAGCAGTTAAAAAAATAAATAAAGTCGACACTTGACAAAAACGTAAACATAAATATTTTCCACTATAAAAAAGAGAGTGTACGTAATGCTTGCAATCATGTTTAAAAATGAACACTGTAAAAGAAAAAAAAAAAGAAAGAAAAAAGTTTTTTCATACAAATTAATTATTTATTTTTAGTTTATTAAAAAGCTTGATAGTTTTCGAAAAGTCAGTGTTCTCAGGTGGTCTGGATTTCTGGCATCCGGATTTTTTTACTTTTACTATACCTATATATATATAATAGTCATTAAACTGCTAATCGCACGGCATATGGTAACCAAGCTTATCACGCGAATGTCAGACGGGAGCATTTATACTTATTCCTTGCTACATACCTGTCTGATGAAGACTTTCAATACATCTAGCAATGAAAGAACAGTGTCTGCAGTGCCACTCTGCAGGAAGCCCTACACACACAGAGGTCATTTAAGCAACGGCAAGGCAAGTCTCAAATATTAATTGTGTATAACGATGCGCGTTATTCTTCTATCGCGCTCTTTCCCGCAGAGCTGTCATTTAAACACAAAGCATGGCATTTAAGTACTGGCAGTCTGTTTAGGCTAGAAACCACCCACTAATTAATAACTGATGGGGCTTTTATATAGATATTGATTAACACCATATAGCACATATTACCCCCGCACTATGTCAGGGTTCGGGAAGTGACTTACCAGGAAAGAGTTGCAGAATAGCTCATTGTTTAGCAGCATTTTTACTGCTAACTCAATATGTTTTCCCCCATGGTTAGACTTCTGTGACAACCAATCTGATAACTAAGAAAATTTGTATTATTTATTCATGCGGTAAATATAGCTTATAATTAGCATGCCTATGTCTAGATACATATAGAGTATCTGTCATTCTTTAGTTCACTTTTCCTGATTATTTTATGTGTGCGTGTGTGTCTATCTATAGCTATTTATCTATATATCTATATCTAACTACCTATTTATCTATCTATCTATCTATCTCGCTTTCTCCCTCTCTCTCCTATTTCTTATGTATATAATACCAATTAATAGAAGCAGTGTCTTGCATTACCATGCGCTGTCCAATAGTTTGCGCTAGAACGCGATCACTGAAAGTCCAATGCAGCAGCACGTCATTCTGTCCATAGATAGCATGCATGTCAGGGACAGACTCCAAAGCACGAAGCAAATTCTGTCTAGACAGTCTGCGATCAGCTGCTGGAAGTTCTTCCCTCTGTTGGGGGCTGAGAGCAGTTTCGGCAGTCTGTAAAGTATGTTAGTCATTCCTCCCCATGCAGTAGCTAATTTTGATTGCCTCGAGTTTCCACATAAAACGCATTATGTACTTGATTTGCTAACTGCATGCAGCACCCAATTTTCCCCTCTCAATACCTACTAACCCTAAAACTCTACTACTACTACTACCAATTCAATTTTCTTGGTTTGCCAATTCTCAAAATGTCAAAGGTTTGTTGATCGACGGAGGAGGAGGAAGAGGAAGCAGAAGAGGAAGAGGAAGAGGAAGAGGAAGAGAAAGGGGAGGAGGATGAGGAGGAGGAGGAGGAGGAGGAGGACGAGGAGGAGGAGGAGGAGGAGGAGGAGGAGGAGGAGGAGGAGGA